CACAAAAAAGGTAACTGAGGCTGGGTATGGTGGTGCATGCCTGTAATCCCAGCACTTTGGGAGGCAGAGGCAGGCAGATCTCTTGAGGCCAGCAGTTCAAGACCAGCCTGGCCAACATGATGAAACCTTGTCTCTACCAAATATACAAAAATTAGCTGGGCATGGTGGCTCATGCCTGCAATCCCAGCTACTCAGGAGACTGAGGCAAGAGAATTGCTTGAACCCAGGAGGCAGAGGTTGCAGTGAGCCTAGATTGTGCCATTGCACTCCAGTCTGGGCAACAAAGTGAGACTGTCTCAAAAAAAAAAAAAAAAAGGGGGGTAACTGAAATTGTAGAAGTGAATAAAATCATCTTAGGGAAAAGGAAGAGACTGAGAAGCGGTCTAGAGCTGAGCCCTCAGGGTAGTGAAGCAATAGCTAAGAAGTAGGGAGAAGAAGCAAGAGACTGTGACGTGGAAGGCCTGGGCAGGGACACTTCAAGGAGTAGTTGTTATTTGCATCCAATAGTACCGAATATTGAACGCATTTAATAAAGAGATCTTCCAAACAGGCTTTCTGTGAGCAACATGGTTGTTTATTCACCTAGGCGCAGGTGGGCTGAGCCTGAAAAGGGCGACAGTGAAGGGCGGGAGTATAGGAGTTGGTTTTATAGGTTTGGGGTGGGCAGTGGAAGTTAGAGTAAGATCAGTTACAGTGGTGGGGGTAGGGGCGAGGACTATACATTATCATAAGTTCAGTTACAATGGCGGGTGGGGTAAGAGTAAAGATGGTAGGGTAGGGTGGAGAGATATTCACAGAGCAAGAACAGTTAAGATGGTGGGGTGGGGTGGAGTATTCACATTATCATAACAATAGTGAAATGGCAGGGTAGGAAGGGAAGCTTAATGCCCCGGTTCACTCTGCTGGGCGATCAGGGGTAATGACAAAACTCAGGCGGGGTTGCGGGGGCAGTGCGGGGCGATCAGCAGGCAGGCAGGACTTCAGACTTTCTAGGTCCAGGCCTGCACATGGAGGCCTGACAGTAGTCAATGTCAGTTGCTGCCAAGAAATCAAGCAATATAAGGACTTATAAGAGCCCACTAAATTTTGTTGCTATGGAGACCATTGGTGACTTTGGGGACTGCAGGGTCAAAGGAGCAGAGTGGCAGTGAGAGGTAAGGGAATGGAGACTGCCAGAGAGAACCAGATGAGGAAGGAGAGTATTGCTACCGTTTGTTGAGCATCTCAGTACAGTTCATAGTCTTGTACCGGGAAAAGTCCATGTTCTTAAGGAATTGTGTGGCCGAACCAGGGAAATAAATCATAGTCTTATGAAGCGAAAAAAATTGCAAACCACCATTTCTGTTTCTTTTTTTAAAAAAATGTAGTTGCTCAAGCCTGTAATCCCAGCACTTTGGGAGGCCGAGGCGGGTGGATCATGAGGTCAAGAGATGGAGACCATCCTGGTCAACATGGTGAAACCCCGTCTCTACTAAAAATATAAAAAAAAAATTAGCTGGGCATGGTGGTGTGTGCCTGTAATCCCAGCTACTCGGGAGGCTGAGGCAGGAGAATTGCCTGAACCCAGGAGGCAGAGGTTGCGGTGAGCCGAGATCGCGCCATTGTACTCCAGCCTGGGTAACAAGAGCGAAACTCTGTCTCAAAAAAAAAAATGTAGTTAATGTCAGGTGGGCGCGGTGGCTCACGCCTGCAATCCCAGCACTTTGGGAGGCCGAGGCGGGTGGATCATGAGGTCAGCATACCGAGACCATTCTGGCCATGATGAAACCCGGTGTCTACTAAAATACAAAAAATTAGCTGGGCGTGGTGGCGCGCACCTTTAGTCCCAGCTACTCAGGAGACTGAGGCAGGGGAATCGCTTGAATCCGGGAGACAGGTTGCAGTGAGCCGAGATAGAGTGGGACTCCATTTTTTTCTTTTTTAAAAAATTTATTTTCTGTAAGCACTATGGTTTGTAGCGAGACTCCATCTTAAAAAAAAAGAGGGAACAACGCTAATCCTTGCTTTTATGGGTTTTAAAGTCTATATGGAATAAAGAGGGAGAAAAAAAGTCTACAATGTGATAAATGTTGACACACGCATACATATAACAGATGGCATGTATACTACACCTGTGAAACCACCACCTCAATCAAGAAGATAAATATACCCGTTTTTTTTTTTTTGAGACAGTTTAACTCTTGTTGCCCAGGCTGGAGTGCAAAGGCATAATCTCAGCTCACTGCAACCTCTGCCTCCTGGGTTGGAGTGGTTCTCCTGTCTTAGCCTCTCAAGTAGCTGGGATTACAGGCATGGGCCACCATGCCCCAGCTAATTTTGTATTTTTAGTAGTTTCACCATTGTTGTTCAGGCTGGTCTTGAACTCCTGACCTCAAGTGATCCAACTGCTTCACTGCTTTAGCCTCTCAAAGTGCTGGGATTACAGGTATGAGCCACTGCACCTGGCCCCCCTCCTTTTTTTTTTGAGACTGTCTTGCTCTGTCACCCAGGCTGGAGAGCAGTGGCATGATCTCACCTCACTACAACCTGTGCCTCTGCAACCTCAACCTCCCGGGTTCAGGGAATTCTCCTGCCTGGGACTGGAATTATAAGTGCAGGCCATCATGCCCTGCTAAGTTTTTTAGTAGAGACAGGGTTTCACTATGTAGGCCAGGCTGGTCTCAAACTCCTGATCTCAAGTGATCCCACTGCCTCGGCCTCTTAAAGTGCTGGGATTACAGGCATGAGCCACCTTCTGGACCCTGATCTCTGAGGCAACCACTGAACTGCTTTGTTACTATAGATTGCTATTTAAAACATTTTATATTTATATAAATGGAATCCTATAGCATGTATTCTTTTTTATCTAGCTTCTTTCATTCAGCGCTGTTTGAAATTCATCCATAGTATGTATCAATAGATCATTCCTTTTCATTGCTGGGTTGATATGGATCCATGATATGGATTCAACACAATTTACCCATTCATTTGTTGATAGACATTTGGGTTACCTCGTTTTTGGCTGTTACAAATCAAGCTGCTATGAACATTCATGTAAGTCTTTGTGCAGACATATGCTTTCATTTCTCCTGGGTAAATAACCCAGACTGGGAGGGCTCGGTCAAGTGATAGGTATGTTTAACCTGAAACTGCTGAACTTATTTCCAAGGTGTTAAAACCACTGGCAGCTACATTTTATATTCCTGCCAGCAGGGTGTACCTTCTAGCTGCTCTACATCCTTGCTAACAATCAGTAGTCAGTCTTTTACATTTTAACCATTTCAGTTTTTTTAATTTTTTTTTTTTTTTTTTTTTGAGGCGGAGTTTCACTCGTTACCCAGGCTGGAGTGCAATGGTGCGATCTCAGCTCACCGCAACCTCCGCCTCCTGGGTTCAGCCAATTCTCCTGCCTCAGCCTCCTGAGTAGCTGGGATTACAGGCACGCGCCACTAATGCCCAGCTAATTTTTTGAATTTTTTTAGTAGAGACAGGGTTTCACCATGTTGACCAGGATGGTCTCGATCTCTTGACCTCATGATCCACCCGCCTCGGCCTCCAAAGTGCTGGGATTACGGGCTTGAGCCCGGCCTAAATTTAATTTTTTTAAAGACAGAGTCTTGCTTTGTCACCCAGGCTGGAGTGCAGCGGCATTATCTCCATTCACTGCAACCTCTGCCTCCTGGGTTCAAGCAATTCTCCCACCTCAGCCTCCCAAGTAGCTGAGATTAGTCATGTACCACCATACCCGGCTAATTTTGTATTTTTAGTAGAGATGGGGTTATCATGTTGGCCAGGCTGGTCAACTCCGGACCTTGTGATCCACCCACCTTGACCTCCCAAAGTGTTGGGATTACAGGCATGAGCCACCCAGCCTAGCCTAATTTTAACCATTTTAATAGGTGTATAGTACTATCTCATTATGCTGTTAATTTGCATTTCTCTCGTGACTACTAATGCTGAGTATCTTTTCATGTGCTTACCTGCCATCCTCTTATCTCTTTTGGCAGTGTTTGTTAAAATCTTTTGCTGATCTAAAAGTTTAGTTGTTTATTATTAAGCTATAAGGATTCTTTACATATTCTATATGTTTTTTGAAGAGCAAAAGTTTTAAATTTTGATGAAGTACAACTTACTGATTTTTTAAATTAGTTCATGTTTTGTGTGTTATATTTTAAAAATCCTTGCTTCCTGTGTGTATCCTAGATTTTACAACAGGAAAAAGCTTTGCCAAACCTAAGGTCACTAAAATTTTTAGTTATGTGATTTTTATCAAAATCTTAGCATCATCCTTTTGAAGTCTCATTGAAGCACAATGTTTGAAATTTTTTTTCCCTGAAAAATATCTGATAAAAAATTGGCTCTATGATTTAATAGCACTGTGATCCAAAATGAGAAACAGCAAATTAAAAGCTAATTATTAATACCAATGTTTACAATCAGGTATACAATTAGTTAATACAATAATTACCTAATAATTATTTTGTAAGCTAAGTATGCTTGTTACTAGAAAGACCCTGCTGCAAAAGAAATAGCACTCAAAGATATGTCATTTCAGCAAGGCAGTTTACTTCTATAGATGGGTGCGGGGAGAATGAATGGAGCAATGATGGCCACTGCAGTCTTGGACAAGTGGGGGGAAGGGTACTTATGCCTGGTGCCGGGGAGGGTCGCCCCTGTTGGTGTGTCATCCCCTATTGGCTAGGGTTAGACAGCACAGGCTAGACTAATCCTGACTGGCTCTTTTAAAAAGAGCAGGAGTCCCAACTGGAGTGGCAGGATGGGTGTTTCTGCAAGCAGGAAAGTGACTGGGATGAATCAGGATGAGGGGGAGGAGGAGCAGATGTGAACTACTGATTAGAACCTGGGGAGAAGGTTATTAACTAGAATTACGAGGAAGTTAAACTTTAAAATAGAGAATTAAAGAATAAGAGAGCTGAACATACTGACATACTGATTCTTTGAAGAGAAGCTTGAGATTCACTATAACAACTACCTTCATATATAAAGAAAGACATTTCAGATTCTTCAAATTCAACAGTGATACGATTTTATTTCTCTCAGAACTTTAAAATGTGAACACTGCATACGTCAGCCAGTCTTTACTTCCAGGTATATTCTTCATTGGGTCGCAATTCCCTGTGTGGAAAGCAAAAAAGGAAGAAATGGAAAAAGTGAAAATAAAACTTTGATAAGAAATAAAAGGGGAAGTCAGTCAAAATTTTTATTTTATTTTTGAGACGGAGTTTCGCTGTTGTTACCCAGACTGGAGTGCAATGGCATGATCTCGGCTCACCGCAACCTCCGCCTCCTGGGTTCAAGCAATTCTCCTGCCTCAGCCTCCGAGTAGCTGGGACTATAGGCGCGCACTACCATGCCCAGCTAAGTTTTGTATTTTTAGTAGAGACGGGGTTTCACCTTGTTGACCAGGATGGTCTCGATTTCTCGACCTCGTGATCCACCCACCTCGGCCTCCCAAAGTGCTGGGATTATAGGTGTGAGCCACCATGCCCAGCCTTTTATTTTATTTTTTGAGACGGAGTCTTGCTCTGTTGCCCAGGCTGGAGTGTAGTAGTCACACAATCTTGGCTCACTGCAAACCCCACCTCCTGGGTTCAAGCTATTCTGATTCACCCTCCTGAGTAGCTGGGATTACAGTCCTGCGACACCACACCTAACTATTTTTAGTAGAGATGGAGTTTCGCCATGTTAGCCAGGCTGGTCTTCAACTTCTGACCTCAAGTGATCTGCCTGCCTCAGCCTCCTACAGTGCTAGGATTACAGGTGTGAGCCATCACGCCCGGCCAATATTTTATTTTCTATTACACTGATCCATTAAAAAAATGTACATATTCAATTCATCATATTCATTCTTTTCTCTCATGATTTTAACCATATCATCAGCTTCATTTTTCTGGGTTAAAGAATTGTAATTACTGGTCGGGCGTGCACTGTGCCCAGTCTGTATCATGTCTTAAGATAATATATATGACAATGTATGTGGAAGCTGTATCTAAGTTAGGCTTTGGTCAACTGCTTTTAAACTGTTTCATATTAAATGCACTTTGAATTAAAATAAGAGGATACTGTCAAAGACCTGAAATAGCCTATTCACAAAATGGAGACTGTTTACATTCTAGAGGTAATCATATTGTTTTATCCAAGGATTCAATAACGAACAAGACTAAAAAACAGTATAATTTGAATCTAAGTCCTCAGGGGGGAAAATTACCCCTTCTATTTATTTTTGGCACATATTAAAAAGGATATTCCCAAAATCTGGCCAATTGCTGATTTTAAAAATGCAGACTAACCTTTTATATAACATACTCTTATTCCGGAAGGCAGTCAGCTTTTCATCATTCTTTCTGTCAAGGTAACAGCCAAGGACAAATCCCATAGGGACAAAAAGAACAACCCACTGGTCCCGCAAAAGTTGAAGGAAGTTTACCATGATCGCTAAAAGAAAAAAGAAAATATCAGAATTACAACCTCCCTGCTTTTTTTTGAGAGGGAGTCTTGGCTCTGTCACCCAGGCTAGAATGCCATGGTACTATCTCAGCTCACTGCAACCTGTGCCTCCCCAGTTCAAGCAATTCTCCTGCCTCGGCCTCCTGAGTAGCTGGGATTAAAGGTGCCTGTCACTACACCGGGCTAATTTTTTTGTATTTTTAGTAGAGACGGGGGTTTTACTACATTGGCCAGGCTGGTCTTGAACTCCTGACCTCATAATCTGCCTGCCTAGGCCTCCCAAAGTGCTGGGATTACAGGCGTGAGCCACTGCACCTGGACTTTTTTGTTTTTTTGAAATAGCTTTTACATTGCATCTGGGCCGGGCGTGGTGGCTCATGCCTGTAATCCCAGCACTTTGGGAGGCTAAAGTGGGTGGATCACTTGAGGTCAGGAGTTCGAGACCAGGCTGGCTAACATGGCAAAATGCCATCTCTACTAAAAGTACAAAAATTAGCCAGCTGTGGTGGTGCATGTCTGTTATCCTAGCTATTGGAGAGGCTGAGGCAGAATTGCTTGAACCCAGGAGGCAGAGACTTCAGTGAGCCAAGATTGTGCCACCGCACTCCAGCCTGGTTGATAGAGCAAGAATCTGTCTCAATAAAATAAATAAATTGCACCTGAAACAGGAAGATGATAGACATAGATGTAAGAGACAGATGTTAAAAGCATAATAAGCCTCTCTGCTTGCCTGGCATCAGAATGTAGTGTAATGCTTAAAAATCTAATTGAAGATTATATATGGGACAATGATTAATATAAAAATTACACTGCACCAAGTCTATTTATTAAATTTTACATAAAGCTTCACTAGGGATGTGGTAAGATACAAAAATTGTACTTGCCAACAGTTGACTGTTTGCATTCTCCTCACGCTGTTTTGGAACAGTTTTTTTTTAAAAGAGACGAGGACTTACTACGTTGCCCAGGCTGGAGTGCAGTGGCTATTCAGGCACTACAGCTCTCAACTCCTGGGCTCAAGTATTCTTCCTGCCTCAGCCTCCCAAGTAGCTGGGACTACAGGCATGCATCAGTACACCTGGCTCTGATTAAGAACTTTTACATGTGTAAAACATTTAGAATTTCTTGCAATGCAAAAACAAATAATACAATTTTGCCAGAAGTGGAATTCTTTAGGTAAAAATAGAATTACTGAAAACTAATTTTAGAAGGAAAATTAAGATATGAGAGGGAAAAAAACTATATTCAGTAATGTCACAGTAGACCTGAATATCAATTACTCTGTAAAAGGTAAAGGGGCTGGGTGTGGTGGCTCACACCTGTAATCCTAGCACTTTGGGAGGCTGAGGCAGGCAGATCACAAGGTCAGAAGTTTGAGACCAGCCTGGCCAACATGGTAAAACCCCATCTCTACTAAAAATACAAAAATTAGCTAGGAGTGGTGGTGCACACCTGTAATCCTAGCTACTCAGAAGGCTGAGGCAGGAGAATTGCTTAAATTCAGGAGGCAGAGGTTGCAGTGAGTTGAGATGGCACCACTGCACTCCAGACTCCGACTCAAGAAAGAAAAACAAAAGGTAAAGGAAGAAAACTTACTTTTACAGAATGACCACTAGGTGGCTCATCCCCATAACCCCAGCACTTTGGGAGGCTAAGGCGAATTGATTGCTTGAGCCTAGAAGTTTGAGACCAGCCTGGGAAACATCGCAAAACCTTGTCTGTACAAAAAAAAATCAAAAAATTAGCTGGGTGTGGTGGTATATGCTCGTAGTCCCAGCTACTGAGGAGGCTGAGGTGAGAGGACTGCTTGACCCCAGGAGATGGAGGTTGCAGTGAGCTGAAATCACAGATCACCCGGGTAACAGAACAAGACGCTGTCTCAAAAAAAAAAAAAAAAGAACGACTACTAGGTACCAGAGCCATCATACATTTCTGTATGTAATGTGAAATAACTATTACCTACATTTTACAGATAAGAAATTAGCTTAATCCTTCATAGACTCATGCCACATACACACACACACAAAATAAAATAGCTTAATCCAAATAACTATTAAGAATAGAGCTGGAGTTCAAATTCAGCTTCACTCTACAGCTTTGGCTCCTATTATATCATAGCTTGTGCCTAAGAAACCCCTCCCTGAATTGATGTTTATGGTACTTAAAAGCTTTTTTTTTTTTATTTTATTTTTTTAATTTTTTTAGGAAGGGAGAGATGAAGGGATGAAGGGGGGAGAAAGGGAGGGAGGAAGGGAAGGGAAGGAAGGAATTCAAGCAATGAGAAAGACGTTGCCAACCTGGATCTAGAGGTTTACAAGTTGATTTCTTTTTTTTTGAGTGAAGTAAAGAAGAAAAAAATGAGTAAAGGAGAGGAAGAAAGAGGACGAGAAAGAGGGAGAGTGAGTGGAAATATTGCTTTATTCTTAAAAAAAAGTGGGTATTAATAATGGCCAATCAATGTTTCATTTAAACCTATGAGTAGGTGTGATGTGGTATTGACAAGAATGTATATTTTGTGTATTTGAAGTGGAGAGCTCTATAAATATTTATTAAGTTTACTTGTTCCGGATCTGAGTTTGAGTCCTTGATATCCTTATTAATTTTCTGTCTCATTGTGTCTAAGTCTCTATGTATCTGGGTGTTAGGATCGTTAGCTCTTGTTGTTGCATTGATCCTTTTACCACTATATCTTTGTTGCTTTAAAATCTATTTTATCCGATACGAGAATTGCAACTCCTGCTTTTTATTTATTTATTTTTGCTCTCCATTTGGTTGGTAAATCTTTCTCCATCCCTTTATTTTGAGTCTTTGTGTATCCTTGCATGTGGAACAGGTCTGGATGTAACATGCCGTTGGGTTTTGGCTGTGTCTTTTGATTGGGGGATTTAAGTCGATTTAAATTTAAGGTTACTGCCCTTTGATGTTAACTTGCTGTTTTATTCATTCGTTGGTGTAAATTCTTCTTTATGTTGGTGCTCTTTACTTTTTGGTATATTTTTAGAAGGGCTGATACTGGTTGTTTCTTTCTATGTGTAATGCTTCTTTCAGAAGCTCGTAAAGCAGGCCTGGTGGTAATAAAATCTCTGAGTTCTTGCTTGTTCATAAAAGATTTTATTTTTCCTTCAGTTGTGAAGCTTAGTTTGGCTGGATATGAAATTCTGGGCTGAAAGTTCTGTTCTTTGAGGATGTTGAATATCGGCCCCCACTCTCTTCTGGCTTGTAGAGTTTCTGCTGAGAGATCTGCTGTAAGTCTGATTGGCTTGTCTTTGTGGGTAACCTGACTGTTCTCTCTGGCTGCCCTTAGTATTTTCTCCTTTGTTTCAACCCTGGTGAATCTAACCATTATGTGCCTTGGGGTTGCTCTTCTTGAGGAATATCTTTGTGGTGTTCTCTGTATTACCTGGGATTGAATATTGTCCTGCTTTGCTAGGTTAGGAAAATTTTCCTGAATAATTTCCTGAAGGGTATTTTCCATCTTGGATTCATTCTACCTGTCACATTCAGGTACACCTATCAAACGTAGATTTGGTCTTTTCACATAGTCCCACATTTCTTGGAGACTTTGCTCATTCCTTTTTATCCTTTTTTCTCTAATCTTTTCTTCGCGTTTTATTTCATTAAGTTGGACTTTGACCTCTGATATCCCTTCTTCTGCTTGAACAATTCGAGTGTTTAAACCTGTGCAAACTTCTCGGAGTTCCTGTATTGTATTCTTCAGTTCCATTATTTCACTCATACTCCTCTCTAAGTTGTCTATTCTCAATAGGATTTAATCAAACTTTTTTTTCAAAGTTCCTAGTTTCTTTACGTTGGGCTACATGTTCTTTTAACTCACAGAAGTTTGTTATTATCCATTCCCTGAAGCGATATTCTAGCGTTGGGATGCGCTCGTTCTCCATCAAGCCTTGTTCCATTGTTGATGTGGAACTGTGATCATCTTTAGAGGGAGAGGTGTTCTGACTTTGAGTATTCTCAGCTTTTTTACGCTGGTTTCTTCCCGTCATTGTAAGTTTATCCTCCTGTGGTCTTTGAATTTACCAACTTTCAGATTAGGTCTCTTGAGTGGGCGTCCAGGTTGTTAGTTCCCAGGGCCAGAGCAGCAGTGTTAAAACTGATGGTGCTTTTCTGCCCAGGATTCTCTTGTGTGGCTTCCTTCTTGTGTCCGTAGTGGGTGACTCTGCCTTCCCGGGGCTCCAAACCTCGGTCAGAAGGGGAGCCGGTCCCGTTTACTCTGCGCCTCTGCGCTGAGCGCTGCCGCGCCGAGGTGCCGTCACAGCTGCTGCGCCGGGCTCTGGTGTCGCGCTGGCAGCCCTTGTGGGTCCTCCGAACCTCTTTACTCTGCTCCAAGAGCTGCCGTGCTGAGGCGCAGGTGGAACTGCTGCGCCGGCCACGAAAGTTGCACTGGCGACCCGTGTGATTCCTCCACTGGGGATCTTCTGCTCCGTGAGCGACCAGAATTTGTCTGAAAGTGTGGCGTCGTCTAGTTCTCCGCGCCTTCACTGACAGCTGCAGTCCTGAGATGTTAGCAATCGGCCATCTTGGTCCACTTAAAAGCTTTTAAATGCTGAAGGTGGGAATAGAACTATACGGTTCTAAACTATAGGGTTTTCTGTATCTGAAATGCTTGGGACCTGAAGTATTTTGGATTTGTTCAGATTTTGAAATATTTGCATATACATGAGCTATCTTGAGGATAGGACAAAATTTAAAGATAAAATTCAATTGTGGGCCGGGCGCGGTGGCTCAAGCCTGTAATCCCAGCACTTTGGGAGGCTGAGGTGGGTGGATCAGGAGGTCAAGAGATCGAGACCATCCTGGTCGACATGGTGAAACCCTGTCTCTACTAAAAATACAAAAAATTAGCTGGGCATGGTGGCACGTGCCTGTAATCCCAGCTACTCAGGAGGCTGAGGCGGGAGAATTGCTTGAACCCAGGAGGTGGAGGTTGCGGTGAGCCGAGATCGCACCATTGCACTTCAGCCTGGGTAACATGAGTGAAACTCTGTCTCATAAAAAAAAAAAATTCAATTGTGCTTTATATATATACCTATAGCCTGAAGGTAATCTTATACGAATTTTTTTTTTTTTAAGTTTCACTCTGTCACCTAGGATGGAGTGCAGTGGAGTTATCAAAACCCACTGCAGTCTTAACTCCTGAGCTCAAGTCATCTTCCCCGCCTCAACCTCCTGAGTAGCTGGAGCTACACATGCTAATTAAAAAAAAAAAAAAATTCTTAAATTTTTTTTGTAGCTCTTGCTATGTTGCCCAGGCTGGTCTCAAACTTGTGGTCCCAAGTTTCAGATCTGGGGGCATTTTGGATTTTCAATATTCTGATCAGGAATGCTGGGGTCCAAAGTGGCTCCCGCCAGAGGTCATGGCGCTCGCGAAGGCGAGGTCATCAGTTCAAGGCTAACCTCATAAGCTCAAACTGATTGGCAAAAAAAAATAAAAAATAAAAAAGGAATGCTGAACCTGCAATAATTATCATGTGAAAAATAAATTGCACTAATTCAATAAAAATATAGTTGGATTGCCAATTTTCTGCAAAAATTTGTATATACAGAGGAAGTCAAAATACACCTGTGTGCATTTGGACCTAAATTAATAAATCATGTACAATGACTGAGAAGACATATCATCGTACAAAGACAATCAATACATTATTGTTGTCAGCACTTGCTCAGCACTAAGCTGTGCTAGGACTATGTAGACTAAATTTCTGCCTCTCCTCTGATACTGGGTGGCATAGTAATCCAATTCATACTTTTTTCTTTTCTTTTTTTTTTTGAGACAGAGTCTTCCTCTGTGGCCCAAGCTGGAGTGCAGTTGTGCAAATTCAGCTCACTGCAACCTCTGCCTCCTGGGTTCAAGCAATTCTCTTGCCTCAGCAACCACGTCCAGCAAATTCTCAGCCGCGCCACCATTCCCGGCTAATTTTTCTATTTTTAGTAGAGATGGGGTTTCACTGTTGGCTAGGCTGGTTTTGAACTCCTTACTTCGTGATCTGGCCACCTTGGCCTCCCAAAGTGCTGGGATTACAGGCATGAGCCACTGTGCCTGGCCATACTTTTCTTTTAAAAGGCAAGGTCTTGCTCTGTTTCCTAGGCTGGAATGCAGTAGTATGATCATACCTCACTGGAACCTCAAATTCCTGGGCTCAAGTGATCCTCCTGCCTCAGCCTACTAAAGCTCTGGGATTACAGGATTGAGCCACAGCACCTGACCTCACAATTCAAATTATTTCTCAGTCTTCCAAAGTGTCTGGTTTAGAAAGTGGTCATGAACTTACAAGTCACATAATTATTATATACTGTAGTTTATAAAGTGTAATGCTACACATGTTCCAGCATATCACTGGTCTAGAAAATTATGACAGCGGTTAAGGATTAGATATTTAAATAGTTAATTTACAACTGCCATCAATTCGTTTTAAGTCTTAGTCTGTTATTTACAGCTGGAGTTCTTAAACTTGACTGTACATAACAATCACTGGAGGAGCCCCTTTTCAGTCTAGGGATTTCTTGGCCTTATCTCCAGGGTGTGGCTGGAAAATCTGTACTTCAAAGAACTCCCCCACAGATTTTGATGCAAATGGTTCTTCGACATATAAATCTAAGTGTAATCAACCTGACTTTATTTCCTAAAAGATGGTGCCTTCATTAAGCAACATTATTTGTATTTATATCTTTAGGTACTTTTTGTGATACAGACCAAGTGGCCATGTCAGCCACTTGTTTGCTTTATAACCTTGAGCCAGTCAAGTGTGGGAATAATGAGTGCCTTAAATAAGATAAAGTTGAAAGCACTAAACTGCAGAACACCAGACAATACATGTCTCTGTGTTCGTGGATAATTTTTTGTATTTTTAGTAGAGACGGGGTTTCTCCATATTGGTCAGGCTGGTCTCAAACTCCGGACCTCAGGTGGTCCGGCCACCTCCGCCTCCCAAAGTGCTGGGTTTACAGGCGTGAGCCACCAGGCCTGGCAAGAGCTGAATCTTAAAGCACTGCCAGGCATCCTTCTTGATGCTTTTCATAATCACCAACTTATATAATCCTCACGATAACACTACATACATCTTAGCTAATACAATGTCCTCAAAGCAATAGGCTTATTTTTTTCATATGAAGAAATCTGGGGACAATCCTGATTAAGTAATCTGCCTATAGTCACAGACACAGGTAAGTGGTATAGCTGTGATTAGTACCCAGGCAGTCTGGCTCCTTGGTCTCAAACTCCTGGGCTCAAGATCCTCCCATCTTGACCTCCCAAAGTGTTGGGATTACAGGCCTGAGCCACTGTGGCCCAAGCTCTTGTATATTACTGTCTCTAATACTAAGTATAGAGATAAACATTCATATAAATCTCTTTTTTTCTTATTTTTCCTAATATTTTTCTTCAACCCCATGCTTTCCCTCACTCAACCACTAAAAAGAAAAGCGCATCTGGTGTGTATCTTTTTAAATAAATCACTCCAAATTCACATTGTAAACCAGGAGACACTGTCTAACCAGTCCCCGCAGTACTTGTAGATGTATTGCTTAAAAACTGTCGATTTAACCTGCGAAAACTTTGCAGGATGCACGGGAGGAATCAAATTATTTGACGCCTGGAACTCCTTGAGGTCTTGGAAACCAAGATCGATTTTAAATACTACGTTTTAAAAAAAGCAAAAGGTTGGTCGGACGCGGTGGCTCACGCCTGTAATCCATCCAGCACTTTGGGAGGCCGAGGCGAGCAGATCACCTGAGGTCAGGGGTTCGAGACCAGCCTGGTCAACATGGTGAAACCCTGTCTCTACTAAAAATACAAAAATTAGCCGGGCGTGCTGTTCGCCTGTAATCCCAGCTACTCGGGAAGCTGAGACAGGAGAATCGCTTGGACTCGGGTTGCAGTGAGACGAGACTGCGCCATTGCACTCCAGCCTGGGTGACAAAAGTGAATTTCTGACTCAAAAATAAAAATAAAAATAGAAAAGCAAAGCAAAAGGGTAAGCACATCATTTTGGTGCAACGGTGTCGGTTCAAGAGGATTGCGGTTTGGAAGACAGCGAGGTTAGCGAGGTGACAGAAGGCTGGGGCTTGGACGAATGTAAGCTGCTCGCTTCAGGCCAGATGGTGGGATCGCGGCTGGTCTCCTCTCCAGTCCGGCTAGCAGGCGGTCACTGGGTCACTTCTATCCGGACGTTTTCTGCTATGAAAGCCTCAGAAAACCCTTTCCAAAAGCTCCGGCCCGGAAACCCCATCCCCCACCCAAAGAAACCTTTCCCTTTCCTGTCATCTTAGCTAGGAAGGCCCAGGGAAGCGCAGACCCCGCTCCATACACGCACAGCACTGAAGGCTTGTCTAGAACCCTCCTCTCCACCCTCGCCAGGACCCCTCCACCCTTGCCGTGATCGGCTGCGCCGCGGCCGCCCGGGCTCCCCAAACCCACCTGCAGGCCCAGTGGCAACAGCGACCGGAGACCCCAAGGACAACGGAGAACTCAGCCACCCGCCTCCGTAGAAGTTGCGACCTCGGGACTTGCCATTCGCAGCGTCCGCAGGGAGCAGAGGGGTGGCGCCGGCAAATCACATTACTTCTTCCTCCTGAGGGTTGACTCCTCTCATTTTTTCTTAGCTACTAAACACTACCAATAATTTCTGAGTAAAACTTGGCTCAATGCCGAAGAGGCATGCAGGCGTAAGCCGTCTTCTTCCCACAGCCCTGTGCCCACCCCCCGGAGATGGTCTCGTCCTGGGTGCTCTTTGCTTCCGCCGCTCGCTTCCAGCTCCAAAATGGCGGCCGCAACTGTGGGGTTTCTGCCGGCCGGTCGTCTCCGGCGCTGCTGAGCCAGCATCAGCTTTTTTCCCTCTTGAACCTGGATTCGCCCAGGGGTTGGGAAGGGCAGTGGACGACACTAGGGGAGGCCTGACGAGGCAAGTGAGGGCGGGAGAAAGGAGCGAGCCTCTGGCTGGGGGAGGCGGCGTCTTAGGCCCTCCGGGAGCGCCGGGCCCTGTCTCCGACCGGGTCTCTCCAGAGTACGCGTTCCCGGCTGCGACTGTCCCGGCCGTTTCCGGCAGAAGTGGTCAGCGAGGGAAAGAGAAGTGACTTCTCCATGGGTCTCAAGCTCCCGGCTGTTTTGCTGTTCCCTCCCGGGATCTCCTTCCCTCCTTTCTGTTTCCCTGTGCTTCCCCCTTCCATCTCTCGGCGCTGGAGGAGTTAAACCGACGCCAGCTTTGAGTCCTTGGCCTCGTGGCTGCGGCGTTCTCAGCCTCCAGCGCTCGGGCTCTTTCCGTCGTTTTGGGCTGCGAGACCATACCACGTAGGGGTCCTTTTTGTTCATCGATTCCAGAGACCTTTCGGATGTTTGTACCGTGCTGTACTAAAAGGGTCTTGGCCCTCCGAGCCCTCCCCACCGTCGCCCTCGAGTGCTTCCACTATCACTGTGAAATCCCAAGTCCTAATTTTTTTTGACTTCGTGTTATTTTACGTGCTCTTTAGAAAACAGGAGCTCAGATTAGCTCCAACACCGGCAAGTCTGGCCTCCTGTGACCAGGTGAACCTGAGCTATCATTTATACCCATTTCCTTATTTATTTTTATTTTTAAAAGGTTTTAAAGAGAGATGGGGTTTCATCATGTTGGTCAGGCTGGCCTCGAACTCCTGACCTCGTGATCCGCCAGCCTCGGCCTCCCAGAGTGCTGGGATTACAGGTGTGAGCCACCGCGTCCAGCCCCATCCCCTAATATTTAATTTAATTTTGCAATCCCTTTAATCTCTCTCTCTCCCTCCCCCCCTCCTTCTTTTCTTAGAAACGGCGTTTCACTATGTTGCCCAGGCTGGTGTAGAACTCCTGGGCTCAAGAGATCCTCCCATTTTGGCCTGTGCTGGGATTACAGGCATGAGCCACCATACCCGGCCTTGCAACCCTCAACTGACCGGGAAGAGACCTCCCACTAAGTGAGCTCCAAGGCTAACCCAAACTCTTCTGTTTTCCCTTGGATTTTGATTGGTTCACCTTAGTTGTCATCAATATGTACGGTCATGATTTTTTTTTTTTTTCTTTTTTTGAGACTGAGTTTCGCTCTTGTTGCCCAGGCTGGAGTGCAATGGCGCGATCTTGGCTCACTGCAACCTCCGCCTCCTGGGTTCAAGTGATTCTCCTGCCTCAGCCTCCATAGTAGCTGGGATTACAGGCATGCACCACCAGTCCTGACTAATTTTGTATTTTTTAGTAGAGACGGAGTTTCTCCATGTTGATCAGGCTGGTCTTGAACTCCCAACCTCAGGTGATCCACCTGCCATGGCCAGGATCCCAATGTGTTGGGATTACAGGCCTGAGCCACCTTGCCAGGCCATGGTCATGATTTTTTATTCTTTGAGATGGGGTCTCGCTTTGTCTTCCAGGCTGGAGTGCAGTGGTGCCATCTCACTGCAATTTCCACCTCCTGGTCTTAAGCAGTCCTCCCGCCTCAGCCTCCCAAGTAGCTGGGGTCACCAGCGCAGCCCCTGCGCCTGCCTACTTTTTTGTGTCTTTAGTAGAGATGGGGTTTTGCCATGTTGCCCAGGCGGGTCTGGAACTCGAGCTCAAGCGATCTGTCCTCCTTGATCTCCCAAGGTGTTGAGATGACAGATGTGAGCCACTGCACCCAGCAACATGCACGATCATTTGATCTTTATTGAGAGGGCAAGTTAACTGTGATAGATATTTGTGATGAAGTACTATCTGAAAACCAGGGCCCTGAAGGAATTTATGATATGATGAGGCTTCATTCCTTCCTGCAGTACCCATTTATGCTGCCTTGACCACTGAGCTTGGCATTGGATATACAAAGATGATCACTTTTACTCCTTTATACATGGGACATTCATTCAACAAATATTCTTCGTGCCCCCTTTATAACAAAATAACTTTGCCTAGGGCAACAAAAAAGCTTTGTAAAGGAATAAATATTTGAGCTGGGTTATTAGGATGGAAAGGAATTTGCTGAGCTCAAAAGGAGAAGGTAATTCCGGGATTCGGTGCAGAATACAGAGCTTTGAGAAGCTTTAGCATACTTAGGGAGAATGGGATAATAACCTGTTTGAGCATTTAATGCAAGAGTTATTGGTGAAGGAAGAGGTAGGTTAAGATCAGCTTTGGAGGATCTTGATTTTCAGTAGGGAGTTCAGATTTTATTCAGTAGTTAGCAGGAATCCAGTGGATATTTTGTGCAAGGAGTGGGCAGGAGGATACTTGTTTTTTTAGGATGGTCTCTGACAGCTGTATGGAGGATCAACTGGGAACAGGAAATCTAGATGAAAGGAAATTGACAATCATTCAGTTAAAAATGAATTGTACTTAAAAGATTTAAGTACAATTTTAGTACTTAAAAGATTTCTGGGCAAAGGGTAATATGTGCAGGGTGTTTCTGAAGATAAATATGGTAGCAATGTTTAGGTTGGATGAAGGGAGGAAAGACCAGAGGCAATGAGTGTCTCCATGGAGGCATGACAGTGAAGATCAGAGAGAGATGAAGTAAATGTCAGATGGGATTCACCTGGTCACTGCCAAGTTGATGGTAAGAAGGCGACTTGAGTTTTTAATCTGGGAGAGTAAATATTTGGCAGTACCCTGAAAATCCAGTCTGAGACATGTACACAAAAATAGGATGGTGCCAACCTGCTCCTGAGGGGTGACAACACGATGCTCTATCTAGTGGAAAGCATTGATTTTTATGGCTTGGAGTCTAGATCTGCACTATTACAGTAGCCATTAGCCACGTGTAGCTACTGAGCACTTCAGATGTGGTTGGTCTAATTCAAATCGGCTGTCAATATTAAAATACACACTGGATTTTGAAGATTTAATATGAACGTAACTCATATTTATGTAAAATATTCAACATGATTACATGTTGAAATAATATTTTGATCTATTGGGTTAAATACAATACGTTAAAATTGATTTCACCTGTTTCTTTTCACTTTTCCATGTGGCCATGAAGAAATAAAAGTACATTTGTGGCATGTATTATATGTCTGTTGACAGAGGTGTTCTAGTCTATACTAGATGTGGGGATTTGTAAGGAGGTGGAAATGTCTTCAGCTGGGCCTGAAGACTTTGAGCAGTGATGTCAGGATGACTTCCTCCGTTGCCAGTTAAGGCATTCGGTTTGTCTTTTCTTAAGCAGTACTTAAAAGATTTCTGGGCAAAGGGTAATATGTGCAGGGTGTTTCTGAAGATAAATATGGTAGCAATGTTTAGGTTGGATGAAGGGAGGAAAGACCAGAGGCAGAGAAACTGAGAAGCCCAAATGTAAGGTAATGAGGCCCTTCCTGTATTAGGGTGCTGGCAGTAGGAATAGAAAGGGAATGATAGGCAAAGCGTTCCTGAGGGAAGAATAATCAGGAGCTGGTAATAGACTCTCAGAAGTGAAGAATCAGCATGTAGCATTTCAAGCCTTGATTATTTAGATAGCAACTAATGTATTGATGTCACAGAGCTATAAAATACATTTGAGACTGAAGAAATTTGGTCCCAGGATAAAATCAGCAACGTTAGGAGGGAGTGGTCCACTAAATACTTTCTATTTTTATCTCCATGCTTTCTGTATCATCTTATCAATCATACACACCCTCTAATTTCCCCAAAATACAGAATTACCTGTATCATACCATCTTTCTAGTTGGTAATGAATCTTAAAATGTTTCTGTTGCCTGTAGGACTAGGTTCGAAATTTCCAAGCCCTTTTATCATATGGCCCCTTACTGTTCATTAGGCCTTTTATTTTTTGCTTTTGTGAATGTGTGCCAGGCTATTTTTTCCACTGGTACTTTAAAAGTTTTTACTCAAAAGTGCAGAGATCTGAGATTTCTGGTACTCTTAAGCTTTTGTTTTGTGCCTTTCCAATCCTGTTATTACTGTTTTGAGTACCTTCTCTTTGTTTCTACCCATGTCTTACCAATCCTGAGTGAGTCATCTTAAATCCCACCTCTTCTATGATTCTCAATAGCATGAGGTTATGTCAACTTAACCTTCCTAAATATTTTTATGTCTTTTATTATTTTATGTTTATGTAAGCTTAAGCTTTCTAAAATCATGACAAATCTCTTTTAAAAAAGGACCATATATTATACCACTTGCTGCTGCTCCTGATGTGTTAGGGCAAGATACAAGTTAAACACCGTAATTATAAACAGAGTGAAATCATAATACCACATTCATAAGGCTCTTATTTATTTTTTAGATTTATAAAGAACTCTTGAGAATTCCTGGTGTTTCATCATACATACAACTGAGATCAGGTATCAGTAAGTAATGAATGTTTAATAAAGATACAGCTTTTTTTAATGAACAATTGTAGTAAAAATACCTTTTTGTCTGTTGAAGTCTTGATCTGCCTGCAAATAAGTTTTAGCATGAACTTACTCAGTTCTAGCTGCGAGATACTTTGCATGTTACTTCATAGCCTAAATGAAGAAAGTGGGAATTAAGGAAGACTTAAGTAGAAAAGAGTTTCCTTTAGGCCATTAATATAATTGTGGCACAGTAAGCTTTTTGGCAAGGAGAATTTCCAAGGTCCTTCCCCAAATTTTATTTATAAACGTTTTTCATCAAATAGATAATTAATGTCCCACACCTGTAATTCCAGCATTTTGGGAGGCCCCGGTGGGTGGATCATTTGAGCCCAGCCTGGGCAACATAGTGAAACTCTGTCTCTCCAGAAAAATTAGCTGAATGTGGTGGTGCATACCTTTAGTCCCAGCTACCCAGGAGGCTGAAGTGGGAGGATCACTTGAGCCCAGGAGGTTGAGGCTGCAAATGAGCCATGATTGTACCACTGCACTCCAGCTTGGGTGACAGAAAGATCCCGTTTTAAAAAAAAAAAAACAAGTCAATATATTTTAAATTTTAACTTACCAACATTTATTGAACAAACACTATGTGCAGGGATGTGCCCATATACTAAAGATACATGTAAATAGGTTCTGGTTTATGGTGTGGTAAGGACAATGAGCTTACTTAATACTAGCCATGCCCCATTTCTTAATTTATCTACTATCACTGTCTATTAGGCACTGTGGAGGCGCTGGAATATAACTGTGATCAAAATAGAGAAGGTCTTTACTTTCATGGAGTCCACATTCCTGTGTGGGCACAGGTGGAGAGAAGATGACAGACAAAGGAAGTAAATAAATAAGTAGCAATTATAGAGCACTAAGTATTTTCTAGAGACAGAGTCTCACTATATTGTCCAGGCTGGTCTCAAACTCCTGCATCAGCCTCCCAAAGTGCTGGGATCACAGGCGTGAGCCACCGTGCCTGGCCTCTAAATGTGTTCATGTTACATGTTCCTGAAATACATATAGTAGGCATCCCAATTTGCATTTCATCAGATATATGTTGATTGTGCATCAGGTTCTATTTGGGAGTTGCAAACATAAGATGCCACCTCTGTTTTTCAGTTGCTCACATTCCAATGCAAGCGTTCTTAATGTTAAACTCCCTGAAAAGTTTGTGGATTTCTACATATATATGTACTCTTGTTTTTCGTTTTGGTGTGTTGAGAGTTGGTGGGGGAGAGGGGAAGGTCCATAGGTTTTTACCGGATTCTCAAGGACCACTGGTCTAACTAATAGGAGAGAAAGGCATGTAAACTAATCATTGTAATAACAGTGAAATCAGTGCCATCACAGAGCAAGATAAAAAGTAAGAAATTCACTTTCAAGGATGAGATAATTAATTCCTAAACATTTATTTATTGAGGAACTTGGATGCAGTAGTATCTGTTATGGGTAATTTACACATTATTTGAAATACTTCAATATCCTTTTTACATATATATTAATATTAATGTTTTATAGACTGAGATACATAGGTGAGGAAAGGTTAATTAACTTGCTTCAAATGACATAGGAGTACATTCATATATCAGCCTATTTGATTGCAACATTCACTACCTTTTATTAAACCCCACTGGGGAGCCACCAAAGGACTCATTGTATCTAAGATTATGTTTGTGCTTTTAAACTTGGCAATGACTTAATAAGCTTGCTTTCAGTTAAAAAATAAATTAAAAATAAACTTGGCAATGATGGAAATGGGCCTTTGAACTGCTTTTCGTGTTAATGGAATTTCTATGCACTTAAATATTTGAAATAATTTTAATCAGTTTGTCTATTATATTATATGCCAGACTGTACTTTGATGTTTAATTATATTTTCATTTCCTTTGAAAGATCCTTTTAGCCTGCTGTCTCTGGACCAAAAAAAAAAAATGACATCTATTATCAAATTAACTACCCTTTCTGGGGTCCAAGAAGAATCCGCCCTTTGCTATCTTCTCCAAGTTGATGAGTTTAGATTTTTACTGGACTGCGGCTGGGATGAACACTTTTCTATGGATATTATAGATTCCCTGAGGAAGTAAGTTACATTTCATAATTTTAGGTTTTGATTAAATCAATTTTCTTTTCTGTACTATAATACCATTTATATGTGATAAATATTGCCTTTTTATACTAGTTTATAGCAAAAGGCTTAATTTTACTTATGCCGAAATGCTATAGTGACCATTTTAACTTGTAAAGTTTTGATTGACTTACAAGCTTTGCTTGTTGAAATTGAGCAAAATCTTAAGCTAATGGATTTTAGTAGAGATTTTTGCATGCTAATTTTTGGAGAGAACGAGAATACCTAAGAATTTGAGAAGATGAAGCACTTTCCCTGTGAAAGTTCTGTGGTCAGATCACATTAGCTTACTTTCTACATCTTTTGATGCTAAACATTGTGAACTGGCTCTCAGAATGACCATGAGATACTGATTCATCCAAAAAAAAATCAATTATTGGCCAGGCACGGTGGCTCCCGCCTGTAATCCTAACACTTTGGGAGGCTGAGGCGGTCAGTTCACTTGAGTTCAGGAGTTTGAGACCAGTCTGGCCAACATAGTGAAACCCCAAGTCTACTAAAAATACAAAAATTAGCTTGGTGTGGTGGTGCACAGCTATAGTCCCAGCTACTTGGACTATAGGCATGCACCACCACACCACCACCACCAATATAGGAGATTGCTTAAATCTGGGAGGCAGAGGTTGCAGTGAGCTGAGATCGTACCACTTGCACTCCAGCCTTGGCAACAGAGCAAGACTCTGTCTTAAAAAAATAAAATAAAATAAACCAATTATGTTTTCAGTATTATACTAATTTTGCAAGAAAAGAGGACTTAAATATATATATATATATATATATATATTTTTTTTTTTTTTTTTCCTGAAGACAGAGTCTTGCTCTGTCACCAGGCTGGAGTGCAGTGGCAAGATCTTGGCTCACTGTAACCTCTGCCTCTCTGGTTGAAGCAATTCTCCTGCTTCAGCCTACAGAGTAGCTGGGATTACAGGCATGCGCCATCGTGCCTGGCTAATTTTTGTATTTTTATTTTTATTTATTTTTTTGAGATGGAATCTTGCTCTGTCACCAGGCTGGAGTGCAATGGTGCAGTGGCGGCTCACTGCAACCTCCGCCTCCTGGGTTCAAGCAATTCTTCCGTCTCATCCTCCTGAGTAGCTGGGACCACAGGCGCGTGCCACCACACCCGGCTAATTTTTTTGTATTTTTAGTAGAGACGGGGTTTCACCATGTTGGCCAGGATGGTCTCGATCTCAACCTCATGATCTGCCTGCCTCGGCCTCCTAAAGTGCTGGTATTACAGGGGTGAGCCACCTCGCCCAGCCAAATTTTGTATTTTTAGTGGAGACGGGTTTCACTATGTTGGTCAGGCTGGTCTCGAACTCCTTGATTTTGAGATCCGCCTGCTTCAGCCTTCCAAAGTGCTGGGATTGCAGGCGTGAGCCACCGCTCCTGGCCCAAGGACTTAAATATTTAAAAACTCTAGAACTTGAAAAAAAAAATTCCAAACCATCTTATTAATTTCTTGTGTCAATGAGAACATATGCTTCCCTGATTAATTGAAGTTTTACTATTCAATTAACAAAACCGTCAGTGGTTACCATGCGGAAAAAGGTGGGACAAAAATCTATTGTAAATATGTGGCCATATAAGTCTATAATATCCTTAATAATTTCTGAAATTGTTTTTTTTTTTTTTTTTTGAGACGAAGTTTTGCTCTTGTTGCTCAAACTGGAGTGCAATGGCGTGATCTCAGCTCACTGCAACCTCCATCTCCCGGGTTTAAATATTTCTCCTGCCTCAGCCTCCCGAGTAGCCGAGATTATAGCCATGGGCCACTATGCCTGGCCACTTTTTTTTTTTTTTTAAGACAGAGTTTCACTCTTGTTGCCCAGGCTGGAGTGTAATGGCGTGATCTTGGCTCACCACAACCTCCTCTTCCCAGGTGCAAGCTATTCTCCTGCCTCAGTCTCCCAAGTAGCTGGGATTACAGGCATACACCACCACGCCTGGCTAATTTTTTACTTTTTAGTAGGGACGGGGTTTCTCCATGTTGGTCAGGCTGATTGGGAATCCCAACCTCAGGTGATCTGCCCACTTCAGCCGCCCAAAGTCCTGGGATTACAGACGTGGGCCACTGTGCCCAGTCAGTTTTTCTATTTTTAGTGGATGGGGTTTCACCATGTTGGCCAGCCTTTCCTGAAATCATGACCTCAGGTGATCTGCCCGTCTCACCTCCCAAAGTGCTGCAATTACAGGCGCGAGCCACCATACCCGGCCAATAATAATTTCTGAAATTCTAAGCTGAGCTCACGCCTATAATCCCAGCTTTCAGAGGCCGAGGTTGGTGGATCACTTGAGGTCAGGGGTTCATAACCAGCCTGACCAACATGGAGAAACTCCGTCTCTACTAAAATTACAAAAATTAGCCGAGCATGGTGGCACATGCCAGTAATCCCAGCTACGTGGGAACCTGAGGTAGGAGAATCACTTGAACACTGGAGGCGGAGGTTACAGTGAGCGGAGATCGCACCATTGTACTCCAGCCTGGGCAACAAGAGTGAAACTCCATATCAAAAAAAAAGAGTTAAGCAAGGCTGGGTGCAGTGGCTCATGCCTATAATACCATAACTTTGGGAGGGGATCACCTGAGGTCTGGAGTTTAAGACCAGCTTGGCCAACGTGATAAAACCATTCTCTACTAAAAATATAAAAATTAGCCAGGCGTGGTGGTGGGTACCTGTAATCCCAGCTACTCAGAAGTCTCAAGCAGAACCGCTTGAACCAGGTGGCAGCGGTTGCAGTGAGCCGAGGTCATGCCAGTGCACTCCAGCCTGGGCAATAGAGCCAGACTGTGTCTCAAAAAAAGAAATAGTATGCAGGTTAGCTATTAAAAAATCAATTTATTTGTGATATCTACTGTTCTATTTTGTTTTTATTCTTGGTTTTATTTTTAGGCAGGGTTTCATTGTGCCACCCAAACTGGAGTGCAGTGGTGTGATATCTCCAGGCTCAACCTCCTGTGCTCAAGTGATCCTCCCACCTCATCCCCCTGAGTAGCTGGGACTACAGGCTGATGCCACCATACCTGGGTATTTTTTTTTGGGCTAACCATGTTGCCCGGGCTAATTTTGAACTCCTGAGCTCAAACGATTTGCCTGCCTTGGCGCTGGGATTACAGGTGTGTACCGTCACACCTGGCCTTTTCTTCTTTTTAAAATATGTCTACAACCATATATTTAAGTGTACCTTATACCACAGTTTTTATAGCTATGCAGAGCACAGGTAGTAATAATTGAAATTCACAGGTAATCATAATTTTAGGTCTTAGTTTTGCTCTTCTACCCCAGCGTAGTCTTCAATCCAGAATTGGTGAATAATTTTGAATATCCTGCCTTTACCCTTAAAAAGATTCAAGAAGTAGTCCTTTGGATTGTGTTCCTATAGGCATGTTCACCAGATTGATGCAGTACTGTTGTCTCACCCCGATCCTCTCCACCTTGGTGCCCTCCCGTATGCTGTCGGAAAGTTGGGTCTGAACTGTGCTATCTACGCAACCATTCCTGTTTATAAAATGGGACAGATGTTCATGTATGATCTTTATCAGGTAATTTAAGCAAGTTAAAAAATTTGCTAGCACTCCTTCAGTGGTTATTTTTCACCTTTATTTGTTTTATTCTTTTAGTCTCGACACAATACAGAAGATTTTACACTCTTCACGTTAGATGATGTGGATGCAGCCTTTGATAAAATACAGCAGCTAAAATTCTCTCAAATTGTGAATTTGAAAGGTAAAAAGAATTTCTAGTAGTAAATTGTTAGATGAATGGGGTTTAACTTGCTGGAAAATACTGATGAGAATTTGGAGTGAAAATTATAGGCATTATGGTCTGAAGAATAAATAAGTTGGCACATTCTGCCTTGATACAGAACTCTTAATTTCCATTTGAATTTTAAAAATTTCAGAATAAATGTTAATAGCTCAGGCCTTTTCATATTTAGCTTAAGAAAGACTCATTTAGTGTTTACTGTGTATAGTAAACAAAAGTTAACATGGGCATTTCCTCCTCCTCCGAGCTTACAGTTAGGTTGAGGAGAGAGAGTAGCTGAGATGGCTAAGTGTAGTGATTGGGGTAAATGAAGTGCTGTGGCAGCAAAGTAGAAAATGACTGAATTTTAGCACTGGACATTAAGAGTTTATTATTGAACTAACCTTTCTTTAGGGTTGTAAAATAAATCTGAGTATTATTATCTTGTTGACATAGGTAAAGGACATGGCCTGTCTATCACACCTCTGCCAGCCGGTCATATGATAGGTGGAACAATATGGAAAATAGTCAAAGATGGAGAAGAAGAAATTGTTTATGCAGTTGACTTTAACCACAAGAGGGAGATGTAGGTATATCAAGGCGAAAGCTAAAGGAAATGCAGTCGGTATTATTTTATTCTTTGGAGGGAAAATCAGAAACACAGTTTTGTTTTTAACCAGAAATCTAGAGCAATTTAAAAGCATCAAATAGGGGATGTTTTCAAAATTAATTATTTGCATAGTAAGGGGGAAAGTTTGGTATAAGACATAAGAGATTTAAAAAATTTACATGTAAGTATACACTCTACAAAACAGATACCTCCTTGGAGATGTTGCAAAGGAGATGAATTTTTACCTACTAAATTATACGTTCTTGATTTGCTGTTTAACAAAACTTTGTGGATGGGGTTGTTCTTTTATTTCGTAACGTGATATGGTTTGGCTCTGTGTCCTCACCCAAATCTCATCTTGTAGCTCCCATAATTTCCATTTGTTGTGGGAGGGACACAGTTGGAGATGACTGAATTATGGGGGCAGTTCTTTCCCATGCTGTTCTTGTGATAGTGAATCGGTTTCATGAGATCTGATGGTTTTAACAACAAGAGTTGTCCTGCATGTAATGTAATTACCATCTAACCTAACTGCCCTGTATGTTCAGAGTCAGTTCCTTTGAGAGAGAACACAATGCTAGTTACTATTTTATGCACTTTATTTGGTATTGAGTGCATTACTATAAAACATTTTGGTAGTTAGTCTCTTAACAGGTGTATTTTGTTTTATCCACACATTAAGTTCATAGGTATTTTGTGTTACATTACAGTAGCCTGAGGATCTAAAACATTTAAGAGAAACAGACTGAATTTTAGACACTTAGAACTGTAGATTAATGAAAGATGGCTGTGTGAATAATTGGTATTGAAGGATTCAACCATTTTGGAAAAAAATCAATTTGTGTCTTTATATAACAAAATAAATTTCAGATGGATTAGAACTAAATAGAAATGAAGCAATATTGGTGACTCTGAGCTCTGATTTGGAAAAGACTTTGTAAGCATAGAGATAATGGACCAAGTTATGAAAGAAAAGTTTGCTAGGTTTGATGACATACAGGTTCTAATGTCTGAAACAACAAAATAAAAAAAAAAAAATCAAACTTGGAAACAAGTTGCCCCAAAATTTATAACGTAGATATAAGAGCAGGTGTTAATTGATTAATGGCTGGGCGTGGTGGCTCACGCCTGTAATCCTAGCACTTTGGGAGGCTGAGGCAGGTGGATCATGAGGTTAGGAGTTTGAGACCAATCTGACCAACATAGTGAAACCCTGTCTCTACTAAAAATACAAAAAATTAGCTGGGTGTGGTGGTGTGCAGCTACTTGGGAGGCTGAGGCAGGAGAATTGCATGAACCTGGGAGGCGGAGGTTACAGTGAGTCAAGATTGCGTCATTGCACTCCAGCCTGGGTGACAATGTGAGATTCTGTCTCAAAAAAAAAAAAAGGAGAAAGATTAACAAAAAATAAAAAGTATACCAGTTGCAAGATGGACAAAAGTTATAAAGTCAAAAAATAAAATTTAAATGATCTTTTTAATTAGATATCATTAAAATTACTATTCTTATTGATATTTTTATTTATTTTTTTTGAGACAGAGTCTCACTCTGTTGCCGAGGCTGGAGGCATAGACACTGCTCACTGTAGTCTCAACCTCCCAGCTTCAAGCGATCCTCCTACCTTGGCCTCCTGAGTAGCTAGGACTACAGGTGCGCTCTACCATGCCTGGCTATTTTGTGTGAGATGAGGTTTCACCATGTTTCCCAGGCTGGTCTTGAACTACTGGGCTCAAATGATCTGCCCACCTCTGTCTCCCAAAGTGTTAGGATTACAGGCATAAGCCACCGCACTAGGCCAAAATTATTTTTAAATGGTGAGTTTCTTCAGTGAAGTATGTAGAGTTGGTGAGTCTTTTTGGTTGAACTTTTCTGGAAAAGATTAAATCTTTCTGGAAAGCCTTTTAGCAGTACTATGTATTGTAGTCAATACATTTCTAGGAGTGTGACCTAAAGAAACAATCAGAAATGTAATTGAAGCTTTTTCTAAAAATGTTCTTTGAAAGATTATAATGGCAAAAATAAATGACCTAAATATCAGTAAGGGGAAAGGATCAAATAAATACAGTGTAGACAGAGTAAAATGTTTTTATAATTGTCAAACATTTAGTTTAGAAAAACATTTTTGTGTCATAGGTAAAAACCAGGATATAGAACTGAGTATATAGGAATGTATATGGGATGCCAGCTTTGTAAAATACATATGTATGTTAGCACCATAAGGCAGGGCGAAAAGAAAAAAATATATACGTGCATAGAAAAACATATGCTTAGAAGGGCGTACACCAAAATATTGTATCAGTTATTTCTGAGTAATGGTACTCTGAAAGATTTTTATTTTCTTCTTTATACTTTTTCTTATCAATGAGCATGTCTAATTTACAGTTAGAGGATGGAACACCTTATAAATGAAGCTGCTTATTTTTTAAGTAAGAAGCGACTATTGTTTACTTGAAATGATATAAAATATTTCTGTTCTTAAACTTTCTTATAGCCATTTAAATGGATGTTCCCTGGAAATGCTAAGCAGGCCCTCCTTACTTATCACAGATTCATTTAATGCTACATATGTGCAGCCTAGAAGAAAACAGAGAGATGAGCAGCTTCTGAGTATGTATTCTTTAATGTCCTTCTTCTTCTTATTATTATTATTTTGTAACTTTTTGTATATTTAGGGAATAGGAGCACAGTTTTTTTGTTTTTTGAGACGGCGTCTTGCCCTGTCATCCAGGCTGGAGTGAAGTGGCGCGATCTCAGCTTACTGCAACCTCTGCCTCCCAGGTTCAAGCGATTCTCATGTCTCAGCATTCTGAGTAGCTGGGATTATAGGTGTGCACTGTCATACCTGGCTAATTCTTGTATTTTTAGTAGAGATGGGGTTTCTCCATGTTGGCCAGGCTGGTCTTGAACTTCTGACCTCAGGTGATCTGCCTGCCTTGGCCTCCCAAAGTGTTGGGATTACAGGTGTGAGCCACCATGCCTGGCCACAAGTAAAAGTTTCTTTCTTTTTTTTTTTTTGAGATGGAGTCTTGCTCTGTTGTCCAGGCTGGAGTGCAGTGGAGCAATCTCAGCTCACCCCAACCTCCGTCTCGCGGGTTCAAGCGATTCTCCTGCCTCAGCCTCCTGAGTAGCTGGGACTACAGGCTCACACCACCATGCCCGGCTAATTTTTGTATTTTTAGTAGAGATGGGGTTTTATTATGTTGACCAGGCTGGTCTTGAACTCCTGACCTTGTGATCTGCCTACCTCAGCCTCCCAAAGTGCTGGGATTACAGGTGTGAGCCACTGCACCTGGCCAAATACAGGTTTCTTTTTTCTTTTTGCTTTTTTTTGAGACAGAGTCTTGCTCTGTCGCCAGGTGCCGAGCTGGAGTGCAGTGGTGCGATCTTGGCTCGCTATAACCTCCTCCACCTCCCGGGTTCAGGCAGTTCTCCTGCCTCAGCCTTCCTAGTAGCTGGGACTACAGGCACACGCCACCACGCCCAGCTACTTTTTGTATTTCGGTAGAGATGGGATTTCACCATGTTGGCCAGGATGGTCTCGATATCTTGACTTTGTGATCCGCCTGCCTCGACCTCCCAAAGTGTTGGGATTATAGGCATGAGCCACCTCGCCTGGCCAAGTACAGGTTTCTTAACGCATATAATGCACAATGGTGAAGTCTGGCCTTTTACTATGTCTGTCCCCAGAATTGTGAATGTTGTACCGAATGTATAATGTCCTTTTTAAGGAGCTGTGGAAATACATGGTAGTGGGAATGACTGTTTATTCTGTTTAACACTTTTCTTGGTCATAAGAGATTGATTAACTTCAGTATTTTTGAAAAAAAAATTAAGTCATCATCAGTTTTTGTATAAGAAGAAACTTTAGCTGGTTTGAATATAACTTTTGTGGAAGAATGTAAAGGTTGGCTTCTCTATGCCAGTCAGTACATAGCTAGCTATCCCAGGCACTCACTGGCATATGTCTATGTATAAAGACTTCATACAAATCTATTAGAAAAATGCACTCTAAAAGAAAATGAACAAAGAGATAAATGGATAAATGAGGATACAAATAGTCCGCTAATTTTTGGGTGTTTTACACTGTAATATAGTAGGCCATTGCTGCTTGCTTCATCTTATATTCTATTTTTTTTTTTTTGAGATGGAGTCTTGCTCTGTTGCCTAGGCTGGAGTGCAATGGCATAGTCTTGGCTCACTGCAACCACCGCCTCCTGGGTTCAAGTGATTCTTCTGCCTCAGCCTCCCGAGTAGCTGGGATTACAGGCATGTGTTACCATACCTGGCTAATTTTTGTATTTTTATTGGAGACAGGTTTCACTATGTTGGCCAGCTGATCTTGAACTCCTGACCTCAGGTGATCTGCCAGCGTATGCCTCCCAAAGTGCTGGATTACAGGCATGAGCCACTGCACCTGGCCTTATACTCTTTTTAAATAAGCTATACGGGATTTCAGCAGGGAAAATTAGATTCCATTTTTAAACATGTTTGTAATCATTGTTTTAGTTTATCTATTTTAAAAGTATAACTATTAATAATACACTGTGTTGTGCTAATTTTAAGAAGCTCAAGCCAGACACTGTGGTTCATGCCTGACATGTTGATCAATACTTTGAGAGGCTGAGGCGAGAGGATGGCTTGAAGCCAGGAGTTTGAAACCAGTCTGGGCAACATAGTGAGACCCCACCTCTACCAAAAAAATTTTTTTTTTGCCAGGCATGGTGGTACAGGCCCGTAGTTCCAGCTGCTTGGCAGGTGGGGGTGGGACGATTGCTTGAGGCCAGGGAGTTGAGGCTGCAGTGATGTATGATCGCACTACTGCACTCCAGGCTGGGTGACAGCAAGACCCTGTCTTAAAAAAAAAGAAAAAGCAAAAATATTAGCAGCTTTTTAATTCTTATTTTTGTTAGAGTTCAGTTTTATCACATATTTCCAAGGGGACTTTCATTTGAGCAAGGAAATCCATAAAGATACACTTATTAGAAGGGACTATGATGTATATTTTATTCTGTAGGGATATATACATACAAACTATATATTATACATAGTTGGCCCTCTGTAGCTGCTGTTCCACATCTGAAGATTCAACTAACTGTGGATTGAAAATATTTTAAAAAACAATAAAAAATGATAATGCAATAATTTAAAATAAGTTAAAAAATACAGTGTAACAGCCATTTACATAGCATTTACATTGTATTAGGTATTGTAAGCAATCTAAAGATGATTTAAAGTACATAGGAGTATGTACATAGGTTATTTGCAGTTACTTTTTTTTTTTTTAGACAATGTCTCTCTCTGTTGTATGTGCTGGAGTATAGTGGTACAATCACAACTCTATACATCCTCAAACTCCTTGGCTCAAGCAGTCTCCCTCCAGCCTCCCACATAGCTAAGACCACAGGTGTGTGCCACCACGCCTGGCTAATTTTTCTTTTTTTTTTGAGATGGAGTCTCACTCTGTTGTCCAGGCTGGGGTGCAGTGGCGAGATCTCGGCTCACTGCAACCTCCACTTCCTGGGTTCAAGTGATTCTTCTGCTTCAGCCTCCTGTGAGTAGCTGGGACTGTAGGTGCATGCCACCATGCCAGCTAATTTTTTGTATTTTTATATTTTTATTTTATTTATTTATTTATTTTGAGACGGAGGTTCGCTCTTGTTACCCAGGCTGGAGTGCAATGGCGCGATCTCAGCTTACCGCAACCTCCGCCTCCTGGGTTCAGGCAATTCTCCTGCCTCCTATCCTATCTCCTGAGTAGCTGGGATAACAGGCATGCGTCACCATGCCCAACTAATTTTTTGCATTTTTAGTAGAGATGGGGTTTCACCATGTTGACCAGGATGGTCTCGATCTGTTGACCTCGTGATCCACCCGCCTTGGCCTCCCAAAGTGCTGGGATTACAGGCGTGAGCCACCGTGCCCGGCCTTTAGTTATTTATTTTTAAATAGAGATGGGGTTTCACCGTGTTAGCCAGGATGGTCTTGATCTCCTGATCTCTTGATCTGCCCATCTCCACCTCCCAGAGTGCTGGGATTACAGGCGTGAGCCACTGCGCCCTGCCAATTTTTTGTGTTTTTAGTAGAGACGGGGTTTCACTGTGTTAGCCAGGATGGTCTCAATCTCCTGACCTCGTGATCCACCTGCCTCGGCCTCCCAAAGTGCTGGGACTACAGGTGTCAGCCATAGTGCCTGCCAGTTTTTTTTTATTTTTATAGAGACGTGATCTCCCTGTGTTGTCCAGGCTGGTCTCGAACTCCTGGGCTCAAGCCATCTTCCTGCCTTGACTTCCCAAAGTGCTGGGATTACAGGTGTGAGCCATCATGCCTGGCCACCGTTTTAAATGAGGAACTTGGGCATCTGATGGATTTTGGTGTTTGTGGGGGGTCCTGGGGCCAGTACCCATGGATACTGAGGGATGACCATATTATAATTATGTGAGGGTGTATATGTGCGTATATAAATTTGGGAATTTATCATAACAAAGTTCATTGGGGTGGATAGGTGAGACCAGGGCAGCCTGGAAGCACCAGACTGGTTACATCTGGCCTAGTCATACAATTTTCTCAGTGATACACCATTTTCTATGTGTATTATGATGTATAAAATGTTGAGGACTACTGATTTATAATTTTTCAATGAAAAAAGATTGAGAGTTAATGACACTGAATATATGAAGAGATATTCAGCAGAATTAAAAGCAGTTGTAATGATCTGAACAAAATTCTTTCATTTAGTACCTGGCTTAGTGTAGTTGCTTATTTGTAAATTACAGTCTTTCTCATTTTAAAAAGGGAGTTGAAATTTAGTTTTGTAGCGTACTATTATGTACTATAGGGATTTTACATTCTTGTTTTCTAGCAAATGTCCTGGAAACACTTCGAGGTGATGGAAATGTTTTAATAGCAGTGGACACAGCAGGCAGAGTTTTGGAACTTGCTCAACTTCTGGATCAGATTTGGAGAACTAAAGATGCAGGATTGGGTGTTTACTCATTGGCACTCCTGAATAATGTCAGTTATAACGTGGTGGAGTTTTCTAAGTCCCAGGTTTGTTTTCATGTTATCACTTGTAATAAAGAAGTTTGCGACAGTGATTGGGTCCCTGGAAGTGAGTGTCTTAATTGTTTTTCGGATTTTATTTTTCTCTTGAAGAGATTGTTAATAATGGTGATAACTTGTCGTTAATCATTTACTGTTCTGTGTGCTTTAAATGTATTATTTCATTTAATCCCTATATATTCTGTTAAGTAGTTTTTATTTTTGTCCCTGTTTTAAAGATTAGGCAAATTGCTTCTCTTCTGACTCTTAGTATCTTAATCTGTAAAATGGGGACAAAAGTAGAACCTACCTCATAGCATATACATGTTATTCATTGTTCTTTCTTTTAAATAAGCTCTTTGCCTTGAAATAGCAATCTCTGGGAGTAAGGTTTTCATTTAGAACATATACCTTGCCTTTTAAAAAAGATTTAAGGTGATTTATATGTGAAATATAAGCAAAATTGATTTTTGGGGGGATGAAAACTAGGGTGGGAGAATCTAAAGGGAAATGAAAGCGGAAAATAAGCTTCTTGTCAAAACAGTACAAATTTAAGCAACCAGTGGGGGTAAAAGATAGAACTTAAGTTCCTTGTCTATTAGATAATATATTGAAGTTATAATATAGTATTTATAATTATTGTCATCTTTTCCCCCATATTAGGTAGAATGGATGAGTGATAAATTGATGAGATGTTTTGAAGACAAAAGAAATAATCCGTTTCAGTTTCGCCATCTCTCTCTATGTCATGGTCTTTCTGACTTGGCTCGGGTACCTAGCCCTAAAGTTGTACTTGCCAGCCAACCTGACCTGGAATGTGGATTTTCAAGGGATCTCTTCATTCAATGGTGTCAAGACCCTAAAAACTCAATCATCCTAACTTACAGAACTACTCCGGGCACTTTAGCACGTTTCCTAATTGATAATCCTTCTGAAAAAATTACAGAAATAGAGGTAAGTACTTGCATGTGAACTTTATTTTAAAACTGTTTGGGGGATACATTATGCATGATGTATAAAAAACAGTGACCAAAAATAAAACTTGAAGTTGTTTTAGGATTTTTATCAGAATTACTCTTGAGAGCCAGGAGTGGTGGTGTGTGCTGTAGTACCAACTACTCAGGAGGCTGAGTTGGAAGGATCACTTGTGCCCAGGGATTTGAGGTCAGCCTGGGCAACATGGCAAGACCCACCACCCTATCTCTAAAAAAAAAAAATTACTGTAGAAGAGAGCCTTTAATAGCACAAATTTTAGAGCTCCTTAACTGGAGATTCTCATTCTTCTTTTTTGAGATGGGGTCTTGCTTTGTTACCTAGTCTACAGTGCAGTGGTGCTATCATAGATCCATGCAGCCTCAAACTTCTGGGCTTAAAGGATCCTCCTCCCTCAGCCTCCCAAGTAGATGGGACTACAGACATGTGCCACCATGTCTGGCAATTTTTTTTTTGAGTTGGAGTCTTGCTCTGTCGCCAGGCTGGAGTACAGTGGTGTGATCTCGGCTCAATACAGCCTCTGTCCTCGGGTTCAAGTGATTCTCTAGCCTCAACCTTCCGAGTTCAAGCAATTCTCCTGCCTCAGCCTCCTGGGACTACAGGCACGTGCCACCATGCCTGACTAATTTTTGTATTTTTAGTAGAGATGGGATTTCATATTTTTTGTATAGAGACGTTGTTTTATGTTGCCGTGAGTGGTCTCAAAAGAAGCTCTCATTCTTAAACTCTTCCTTGGTACCCTCCAGTTTACCCAGAGGGTAAGCATATACAATGTTTTCTCAATCTCTGAAAGGTTTCTTTCCTGTCTCTTGCTTAATTTAAATCAGACTGTTTCCTAAAGATATTCTTTATCCTGTAGCTTCCTGAAGTAAGTACTCTTTCTATGTTTCATGTACTTTGAGTGAAGTACATGTCTTCCTTGTTCTGTATTACGGCTTCCTAGCTATTTGTCTTCCATTTTTAGTTTTTGCCTTCAGACCTGCTGATATGCTGGCCCCCTCCTTGTTTCTGACATTTAATGATCTCTTGGTCATTCTGTTACTCATTGGTGACATTTAACCCTGCCTGAGAGTATTCCTGTTGACTGGTATTCAGGACTTCATTCTCATTGACTTTAGCATTCATGTGTACAATCTGTCCAATTCTCAGTTACTTGACACCCTATTTCTTAATCTTTTCCTTCATCTTACCTCATTCCTGCTATCAAGTTGTCTGCTCCTGTGGTTATACCTGAAACCTTCTTATGGCTAAACAGTCTCCAGATCTCCACCTTGAGCATCCCATTCTGAATTTACAGTTGACTTTTTCTGTTATTCCCATGACAACAACTTTTTGCTTCCATTGGGACTTTCAGTTCATGAACCTCACCTTTTACTGTCCATCATCCTTCCAGCCTTAAAGTCAGTAGTCCATAATTAATCATAATTTTCCAAATACCTTTAACTCTCTTACACTTTTATTTTAGTCATCTGGAAAGGCTTTGACCTTAGTTAAACCATTTGCTTGGTTTGTGCCTGTACTTAGCAGCTTTACGTTACTGAAGTTAAACACTATGGTACATACAGATCTGTTCTCACATTCATGACTTCACATCTCAAAAGGAGACCCTACACCAGTGCTCAGCATTCAGTAGAATGTTCCCTTTCTCATGGTAAGGCAATTTTATATCTTGTTTCTTCTCAAACATCCCACAGCTCGTTCTTAGCCTTCACTTATAGCACATGATCTTGTCTCAAACTTAACATAGAAGTTGAAGCAGTGAGTCAGGAATTCCTTTATCTTTCCACCACTAAGTTTACTAACTTGATTCTGCATCTGCATTTGCTGCCTTATCTCCTGTTATAGGAACAAGACAATTAGCTCAATGACCAATATACCCAAAGATCATTTGCTTAATAACCAGCCCATCAAATCTATCAATTTTTTAAAACTAGTATATCATTAAAGTTTGTAGCAATTGATATAATAGGATGGTTAATAACTGCCAGAGTTGGGCGAAGATTTGGGTGACTAAACCTTAACATGAAGGTGACTAAACCTTTAACATAAAGCAGTATCATAAAGCTGCTTCTCATTTTGTTTTCGTAGCACTTTTTTTTTTTTTTGAGACAGAGTCTCACTCTGTTGCCCAGGCTGGAGTGCAATGGCCCGATCTTGGTTCACACTGCAGCCTCCATCTCTAGGGTTCAAGCAATTCTCCTGCCTCATCCTCCCGAGTAGCTGGGATTACAGGTGCCTGCCATGATGCCCATCTAATTTCTGATTTTTTTTTTTCTTAGTAGAGACAGGGTTTTCATCATTTCAGCCAGGCTGGCCTTGAACTTCTGACTTCAAGTGATCCACCCACCTTGACCTCCCAAAGGGCTGGGATTACAGATGTAAGCCACCGTCCCCAGCTGTAGCACTCATTTAATTATTTAATTAGGGACAGATTCTTACTCTGTCACCCAGGCTAGAGTGCAGTGATGCCATCATAGCTCACTGTAATCTCAAACTCTTAGGCTCAAGCTGTCCCCACCCCCACCCCCACCCCATTCCACCTTACAAAATGCTGGGATTATACAAAATGCATGAACCACCACACCTGGCCCTTAGCAATCATTTTTAAGGAAGGTTTAGTTCATTAAAAGCTATGTGGTAGGGTTATCTGTACCACTTTTCTTAACTATACTTAAGAAAAGTGTAATATCAGTATCTAAAATCTGAGATACATGTACTGTGATTACAGAATTGTTGAGCAAAAATTTTGAGCAAGTATAGGAAAGTAAAATGGTGTCTTTGGGGTTATTTAGTAGCTTAGAAATACAAAGTTAAAAGAACTCAAGTACTTTAAACGATTTCATCAGACATGAAATACTGAATTTGAAAATTTTAATTACTAGATATTCAGTTAGGTCTAATAAACCGTTTGAGGAATTAGTAAAAGAAAAATGATTTAAGTTTGGAAAACCGTAGGAAATGATGTTCAGAAGCATGCTGAGGAAATGAGAAACAGCCAAAACATCGACTGTTAAGTTTCTGATCTTTTTAATAACCAATGCTGATGCCCAGGGACCTTTTCTTGCTCACTTTCTTAGTGATATTTATTTTGCAGTTATCCCACCTGTCTTCGTTATCTATCAGTTTTTCCCTCTACTTGATACATCTGAAATAATTTTTACTCTTTTCCTACTCCCAATACTGTTCTTCCGTCTTACAGAATGCAGCACTTCCCACATATTCAAGCCAAAAATCTGGAAGTTTATAAAATGTTCACTGAAGTGTAATATATACTGAAATGTATGTTAAGTGTATAGCGTGATGAATTTTCACAAATTGAATATACCTGTCTAGCCTGTACCCTGATTAAGAAATAGAATATTTCTATAGCATGTTGGGCAGAGCCAACTAAGATAAAAAATAGAAATGATAAAGAAATAGAATATCACCAGCACCCCACAAACCCCTCTCTGACCCTCCTTCCCTCCCCTGAAAGGGAAAATACTGTCTTGACTTGTAATACACAGGTTATTACAACTCATTTTTTCATTTTTCTTTAAACTTCACAATCTGTGAGCAAATCTTCCAGACATATTCTAAATTTGTCAGCTCTTCTCTCTCCACCATGGTTATCCTAGCCTGTGCTAAATGGACTTGCCTGGACTTGTGCAGTAGTTTCCTAACTGGCTTTTCTATTTCTGCATTTTTTGTTTGTTTATTTTTTGAGACAGGGTCTCACTCTGTCACCCAGGCTGGAGTGCAGTGGCGTGATCATGGCTCACTGTGGCTTTGCCCACCCAGGCTCAAACTGTCCTTCCACCTCAGCTCCTGAGCAGGCACTACAGGCGCACACTACCATGGCCAGCTAATTTTAAAATTTCTTGTAGAGATTGAGTCACATTATGTTTCCTAAGCTAATATGTTTTTACTTTTTTACTCCCTTAATCTCCTCTTCTCACAGCAAATGAAGAGATCTTTTTTTTTTTTTTTTTTTTGGTGGTGAAAACCCCATACATAGCCAGGTGTGGTGGTGTGCACCTGTAATCCCAGCTACTTGGGAGGCAGAGGCAGGAGAATCTCTTGAATCTGGGAAGTGGAGGTTGCAGTGAGCCTGGATGGTGCCACTGCACTCCAGCCTGGGTGACAGAGAGAGACTGTGTCCCACAAAAGCAGACAAAAAAACACATGCAGTTCACTATCTTAACCATTACAGTATAGTAGTGTTAACTATATGTACATTGTTGTATGACAGATCTCTAAAACTTTTTCATGTAGCAAAACTGAAACTCTACCTATTGGATAGCAACTCCCAGAGATCTTTTAAACATTCATCATTTCATGTCATTCAGTTGCTTAAATGGATCCAAAGCCTTTCTTCTTCTCTTTGAATAAAATCCATGCTACTTACCAGGCTTTTGAGATCCCACATGATCTGATCACCACCTACCTTTTGACCTTAGCTCATTCTACTTTCTCTATGCCCTACAGGGCATCAGGATCTTTGCACTAGCTGTTCTTCTGCCTATAGTGTTCTTTCCTGGCTTTGCATGTGGCTGGCTCCTGGTCATTCAGGTCTCAGGTTAAACCTGAGGCCTACTCCCTCAGGTAGGTCTCTGACTACAGATTTAAAATACCTGCCTGGTTTAGCTGCCCATCGCCTTACTTTAATTATTCTTTCCAGCACTCATCACCACCTGATGTATTCCTTGTTTGTTGTCTTCCTCTTCCCACCATCAACTGCAATATGATGAGAAATTCCATGAGAAAAAGGCCTTGTTTTTTGGTATCCCTAGCACCCAGAAGAACAGTGCTTGACATATTGGAAGCCCTCAATGAGTGTATTGGTTTCATTCATGGATGATCAAAAAAGTGAATATGGAATAAACCAGATTTCTGATTGTGTTAGACAAGAAAAGTTTACTAAGTTTGGTATTTTTTCATCTGTGTCTGATGCCCTTCTAAATCAAGTCTTATTTAGAAAG